ATCCACACGTGCACGGAGGTAAACTTTTGGTACGCGGGCGCGCGAAACGAGCCGAACGCCGTGCAAGCAGGGGCAGGCCGTGCCACGAGCTAGGGAACAAACATAACAGAGAGCAGCATCAAGCACAGAGCGGGACGGAGCTCAGGGCAGCCAAAATGGCGCGGGCGGCATCACGAAGCGGCACCAGGAACGCGTCCATGTAGGTGCCGACTGGATGCAGGTCAGTGGAAGGCGACCCCACTTGCGACCACGGAGAGATTGCCACTCTTACCCAGGACGGCGGTGACAAACAGGGCGAGAGAAACCGTCGTGCAATTCCCTAGGTAAGCAAGTCGAACTCGACGTCCATGAAGCCTTCGGCCAGACAGACGCACAGAAACGAGCGGGCAACCCGTAGGAACAGTGTGAAGGACACCGAGAGACTGGCGTGGGCAACGCGAGGAAATCGCGCCAAGCGGACGCCGAGCAGACAAGCGGCCTCCAGGCCCCCAGGTAGTAAAACGCGTAGTCGGGCAGCGACAACGCGGTGAAGAGGTGCAGTGCGAGGAGGAGCCGGGGTTGGCTGGGCTGCGGCTGCCCCGCGCCCTCCAGCGGGCGGGTCAGAGGCCCCCCAGGCGGGGGCAAGCACAGGCAGACTGACTGCACATGCTGAGCAGGGGGAGGGGCCACCTCTCGTCGGCAAGGGGCTGCAGCGCAACCAGGGGCAGCTCGTGTTGGGCTGTCCGCGGTGCGGCTGCAAATTGTGAGTCGGGTCCAGGAGTGACAGCTCCGCCGCAGGAGCGCTGCTGCGACGGCGGGCGGTGCCAGCCGGACCAGCAACTGACCCTTCAGTGCCCCTTTGGCAGTGATGCCAGGCCCAGGAACGCTCATCCCCCAGGTTTCGTGGCCGTCCTGGAGCGCCGCTGCCAGCCTGGACCAAGGGTGCCTGTCCCCGCGGCAGGGCATCGCCTTCCTTACCCGTGCCATCGCCACGCCACAGGTATCGCTCGCGCAGCTGTTTCCAGCCAGCCCCGAGGTGCAGCGCGTCGTCCATGGACTGCGCGTCCCCTTTGTGGTGGCGGAAGGAGTCCCAAAAATTGACGCATGTTTGCTGGTCGTGCTGGAGCGGGTCGAGTACTGTTCTGGAGCCGGGTGAGGCGCGCTTTTGTGCCAGGCGCCTGTGAACATCGCTCCCAAGGTGACTTGGAGTCGCTCGAGCTTCTTGCCCAGAGGCTCCCCGCAGACGCTTCATTGCACGCCTTTGATCCTGAATTTGTAAAGCTGCTTTCCCGTGTCGGGACCCAGGGGTTCAGGCCACTGGCGGGCGGCATGCCACCCGTCCCCGTCGGGCGAGACAGCTCGCTGGTTACAGGCGTTGCTGCTGCTGCTGCTGCCGCCGCGTTCGCTGCCTGCTGGCTGTCGCCTGTCAGATTCCACCAAGCCGTCGACGTCGCCGGGCACCAGGTTCCGCTCCTCGGGCGACGAGGGGGCTGGGGGATCGCCGGTTCTTGGGGCCAGGCCCGGTGTCCAGCCGCATCCAGGGAGACGCGCCAGCGGCGCACGCTGGCCACGGTGCCGTCGCTCCTCGGCGCTGGGACTGGCACTGATGCGGGGGAGGGCTGTCCCAAGATGGAGAGCATCCGTCCGCGCGTTGCTGCCATGGGCTGGGGGGTCAGTCGAGGAAATGCGCGGGTGGGTGGCCGCCTGCTCCTGCTCATCTGGCGCTCCGGCGTCGGCGTCGTCGGCGTCGTCGTCGCCGTCGTCGGCGTCGGCGCCGTCGTCGGCGTCGGCGTCGCCGTCGCCGTCAGCGTTGGCGTCGTCGGTCGTCTGCCGCTTGTCAGACCCCATCAGGCCGTCGACGTTGCCGAGCACCGGGCTCCGTCCCGCGGGCGGCGAGGGGGCTGGAGGATCGCCCGTTCTCGGGGCCAGTCTCGGCGTCCAGCCGCTTCCAGGCAGACGCGCCAGCGTCGCACGCTGGCCGCAGCGCCGTCGCTCCTTGGCGCCAGGCCTCGCGCTGTTGCAGGGGAGGGCGGCGCCAGGATGGCGCATGTCCGTCAGCGCGTCCCTGCCGCAGGCTGAACAGATCAGCGGAAGTGCGCGGGTGGGTGGTCGCCTGTTTTTGCTCGACTGACGCCCCGGGCTTCTGTTCCAACGCCTTCATCTCCAGGTTGTCGGCGTCGGCGTCGTCAGCGTCGTCGTCGTCGGCGGCGGCGGCGGCGTCGTCGGCGTCGGCGTCGGCGTCACTGTCGGCGCCGTCGTCGGCGTCGGCGTCGTCGGCGTCGGCGTCGCCGGCGTCGGCGTCGTCGGTGGGAGGGCGGGCCGCGTTCCTGCCGGGACAACCGATGACGGCTGACGGCGCAGAGGGGCCTTGCACACTCCTGGACTCGTCTGGCGCTCCCGGCTTCAGTTCCAACGCCTCTTCTGTCCCCGGGTCGTCGGCGTCGGCGTCGAAGGCGTCGTCGTCGGCGTCGGCGTCGGCGCCGGCGTCGGCGTCGGCGTCGGCGGCGTCGTCGGCGTCGGTGTCGTCGGTCGTCTGCTGCCTGTGAGACCCCGCCAGGCCGTCGACGCTGCCGGGGCCCAGGTTCTGCCCCGCGGGTGGCGAGGGGGCCAGTCTCGGCGTCCAGCCGCTTCCAGGCAGACGCGCCAGCGTCGCGCGCTGGCCGCAGTTCCGCCGCCCCTTGGCGCTGGGCCTCGCGTTGTTGCAGGGGAGGGCAATGTCAGGATGGAGCGCGTCCGTCCGCGCGTCGCTGCCGCGAGCTGAACAGATCAGCGGAAGTGCGCGGGCGGGTGGTCGCCTGCTCCTGCTCGTCTGGCGCCCCCGGCTTCTGTTCCAACGCCTGCGCTGTCCCCGTGTCGACGGCGTCGGCGTCGGCGTCGCCAGCGTCGTCGTCAGCGTCGTCGGTGCGAGTCTTCCCCCGGCAGGCGATTGATCGCCGCGAATGCACCGAAAGCAACGGGAGGGGTGGAGGGAGGGGGGCATCGTCTCCAGACGAGCGTCCGGTCGTCGCAAGCGTCCTGCGTGAATCTTCCCAGGTAGGCGACTGCTCGTCGCAAGCGCCCTGTGCGAATGTTCCCCAGGCAGGCGACTGACCGTCGCAAATGCACCGATAGAAACGATGCATGATGGTGTTGATGCTGATGATGATGATGATGATGATGATGGTGGTGGTGGTGATGATGATGATGATGATGATGATGATGATGATGATGATGATGATGATGATGATGATGATGATGATGATGATGATGATGATGATGATGGTGATGATGATGATGATGATGAGCAGATGATGAGGATGTCTCGAGCGGCTTGCTGGTTTTACCACTCCTAAGGGGGGCCGCCAGGGGTATTGCACGGCCTCCGTTCGCGATATTTCGAGCGGTTTGCCTGCTCGCATGCCCAAAATCCTCCGCGTTCGGAGCAGATTTGGAGGATGTGTCGAGCGAGGCGTTCATTTTGGGGAGGCCGCCAAGGGCATTGCCAGCCTCCGTTCGCGCCAAAATGGCGGGGATGCCTCGAGCGGTTTGCCTGTTTGCATGCCCAACATCATCCGCTTTCGGATCAGATTTGGAGGAGAGCGAGGCGCTCATTTTCGCCCCCCAGGGGGGGGCCAGAATTTGAGGATGTCTCGGTCGGTTTGCTTGTTCTGGTGGCCAGCCTCGTGGGCACATATTCTCCCCAGGAGGCTCCAGCAGGCTCCAGGAGGCCCCCGGAAGCCACATGAGGTCCCAGGAGGCATCAGGAGGCCACAAGAAGATTCAAGAGGCCACAGGATGTCCCAAGGGGCTCCAGGAGGCCCCAGGAAGCTCCAGGAGGCCTCAGGAAGGCACAGGAGGTCCCAGAGGAGGCCACAGGAAGCGCCAGGAGGCCTCGGAAGGCAACAGGAGGCAACGAGAGGCTCCAGGAGCAGGAGACCTCAGATGGCAACAGGAGTGGCTCCAATTCCATGTGTTTTACGTATGCTCCTATATATTGGGCCTCACTTGGACCACGAATCCTTGATGCTATACGTCTGTTTCTATATATTGTCCTTCTCTCCTGTGTATACACTCCTAAATGTTTTACGTATGTTCCTATATATTGGGCCTCCCCTGGGGCACGAATCCTTGGTAAACACGTGTGTTCCTATATATTGCCCTTCTCCTGCGCCTCCAATCCGCAATGTTTTATGTACGACTGTTCCTATAGATTGGGCCTCTCCTGCGGCACGACTCTTCCCTAACCAGGAGGCTCCAGGAGGCCTCAGGAGGCCACGCGAGGCTCCAGGAGGCCTGATGAGGCCACTCGAAGCCCCAGGAGGCCCCAGGAGGCCCCAAGAGGCTACTGGAGGCCCCAGGAAGCCCAGGAGGTTTCAGGAGGCCCCAGGAGGCCCCAGGCTGATGCGCAGAGACGCGCTCGTACTACTGAGACTCATTCACACTCCAGTTCATTCGCAGTTAGACCCATGACCCGACCGTCACAACTCAAGCCCGTTTATATTCGAAAACTCTTGCGCCTAGACACTAACGGCGGACAGGTCCATGCGAATAGATGCACATATGGGGAGCTCCACGCAGTGAACAATTATTTTGGATTGCCGCACCCTCTGGACCCGCAAGACCTGGACTGGTAAGACGTTCAACGACCCTGCCGCAGTTTGTTTTCTTGGCGTACTCAGAACGGTGAGGGGCGCACGTTTCTGGGGACGTACGCGGCGACGTATCAGGGGGCGTACCTGGGTACGTGTCCGGAATTCTCTGGGGCGTTCCCAAGGAACCTTCCCGGGGCCATGCTCGGGGACGTGCTTGGCGATTTGTTTGGTGACCTGCGAATGCGTGTCTGGGGTCGTGCCTGCGACCGCGTCAGGGGACTTTCGGCGGCGCGCCGCGGTGGGGAGTGAGAGGGGGCATGTCTTCTCAGCAGGTGGCGAGGCTCCTCAGAAGTCTTCGGCCTTTGAGAAGCCGTCTCCGTCTTCGGAGGAGGCGCTGAAAGCTTTTCAGAAGGCGGGAGGTCTTCGGAGCCTTCTGAGAAGGCCCGCCGCCCTGCCTTCCCCCTGGGCGCGCCGCCAAGAGAGCCCTTGGGACAACTCCGGGGGGGTCCCTGTGCGCTGGTCCGGCATCGTGCCTGGGAGCGTGCCCGGGCTGCAGGAGGAGGAGGAGGAGACAGCGGAAAGAGCCCCCGCTCCCCGGGTGGAGGACTACGTAAAGGACGAGAATTCTGACGGCGGCGAGTGGAAGGTGCAGATGGAGTACGACATCCTCAGGAACGGGGTGCGTCTCTGCTCCTCCAAGCTCATCTTTCTGCGACCTCTTGCTAAGCCTACCCCTGCGGGTCCAGTCAGCGCTGGGGTACTGGACACTCCCGCTTGGGTTCACTTGGCTGCAGACATCCTTCAACCTCTATAAACTCCAGCCAGTTTGGCAGACATCTGACCCGTAGGGGTAGGGCTCACATGTTGTTGCCCGCTGCCTCTTGCGTTTTGCCCTCGCTTTCGCACGCCGCGGGCCGCGCTCGGGCTCTGGGGCGCTCGGTGCCGAACAGCACCGGACCCCACGAAGGGGTCGGGAGCCTTTGGTCGGGTGTTGCTAGAAGTGCCCCTGGCCCAAGGTGCCCCCAGGATCTCCGAGGCCCCCACGGCCTCCAGAGCACCCCTCACGAGGCCCAGAGGGCCCCAGGGGCTCCAGCATGGAGCGAAAAGCTGGGGGCACCTTGGGCCAGGGGCACATCTAGCAGCCGCCGATTTGGGGGCCAGCATCGAAAGGCACGACGTCGGAGCCCTGGGGCCTTCTTCTTGTCGTCGGTCCGCGGATCGAGCTCTCCAGAGGGCGTCGGGCCTTCCGTGGGCATCGGGGCGCTTCTGTGGAGGCAGGAGACTTCCGGAGGCCTCCGATGTTGGAGGCCCCCAGAGATCTCGGATATCGTGCTCCAGATGTCTCGGCATGGTCCCTGAGGGCTTGACGACTTGTCGCCGATCGACTTGTGGGGCTCGGGCCAGACAAATCGAGGTACATGCAGACAAATCGAGGTAAGTCCGAGTAGAGCGTGGCAGATCCACGTGAATCCAGAGATTTCCGGGCAGCTCGAGGCCGCTCCAGCGCGAGTCGAGGGGCGGCCGGCAGAAGTCGTGAAGCCCATCATGATATGGCATCTCGGGGCGCTTTCGAGACACTGCGTGCGAGACTCGCGGAGCGTGTCGCATCGTGCCTCGCGACGGTTGTTCGCGCGCTAGCGGTTTCTGATGCGCTTTGAAGGCCGCAGTGGGGCGACCCGCGCGCTTCCGCCACCCGCTTGGGCCCCAGATATCATGCCGTGGCTTGCGAGGACCAGTACAAGTCGGGTTCGGAAGGGTCTCGCTGTTCCTTGGGTCCTCCCATGGTTGTGTTCCTCTAGCGCTCCTCGAGCACGCAGGCGTTGCACGCAGGCGCTTTGCAGCCAAAATGGGGGTTCCGTTTCCCAAGTATTTACGGTGCTTCATGATCGTAGTTTGACTGCATATGGCAAGACACGTTGCCTTCGTTCATTTTGCAGGATGTCGTTGAGGACCGCCTTGGGGTGCGCCTGACTCAACTCGACTCCGGCTCCTCATAGCCTTGCTCCCTCAGGAACAAGGTGTTCAAGGCCAAGGCCGACGCCGAGGCGGCTCGGAAGGCCGCCGAGAAGAAGGAGGAACCGGGACGCCGACCATCCATCGGGCGTGGCCACGACCGAGATAAATCGCTCCAGAGCGCTCTCGGAGCGCTCTGGAACGGCCGCGGCGCACGATACATCCTCCACAGCAGGCTGGATTTCAGAGAATCCCAATTTGTCTAGAGGGGCAACAGTTGCATAGTACACTCTCAGAGCTCTGCGGGTTTCTTGGATCTGCGCTGGATCTTCCTTCCTGGCGCGTGGAGCGCGCCAGGGGCAGCGCCAGAGGCGCCAACAACAGAGGGACCCAGCGCGGATCCAAGAAATCCGCGCGGAGCTCAACAACTTTACGTTTATGCCGTTTTTGGTTCCTCTGTCTCAGCCATCCTCGATTTGTCCCAGTCTTATGTTGGCCCGGTCTTTGCTTCGTTCAGAATCGTTCAACCGATCCCGAGCGTTCACCGTCCCCGTCCCCATCCCGATCCCCATCCCGATCCCACCACCCCACTTGGTGATGATGCCCCTCCAAACCCGAAGGGAACGGCCCACATCCCCATCTAGGGGGGGAACTCGGTCAGAGGGGCCAGAGGTAGGGATCGGTTAAACGGTGCTCAGTCGTCTTAAGCCGGGGGCGCCGACCATCCGCTTGCTGCAGGTCTCCGCAGCCTCGGCGCTGTTTTCGCGGCGCTGCCGCGGGCGCTCGAGGCTGAGCGCCCTCGGTTGCCTCCTTTCGGGCCCAGGGCCCGCAGAAAACAGCCGACGGTGCGGAGTCGATGCGGAAGTCGAGGAATAAGAAGCGGCAATTTCTGGGAGTTCTGCTCGGATTCCTTGGATCGGCCCACTTGCGGCGCCCCCTGCGCCGCCACTGGCGCGCTCCGTGCGCCAGGAGGGGGGTCCAGCGCCAATCCGAGACATCCGCGCGGAGCTCTGAGGTCCAGCGCCAATCCATGGAAGGAAATCGCTGAAGGGTGAACGTTTCACCCGGCGTCAGAAGCCAGCGCCGGACCGTTTCTTGGGCCGCGCGCTCGGTGGATTCGCCGACCCTGCCATGGAGGTCAATCCCTGGAGGGCATCTGCGGCGACGCCAGGTCGGCCTGGCCAGGAGGGGCGTCGGTGGGTGGCTGGCGTTCTCCCGAGGAGGGCATGGAAGCTTCGCGCAAGAAGCTGGCGGACGCCGAGAAGAAGGCACAGGAGGCCCAGGCGGCCGCCGATGCCGCCCGCGACAGGGCGAAGAAGGCGCAGGAGCAGCTGGACAAGCTGGAAAAGGCAGCGCAGTCGGGCGGCGACAGCGAGGCGGTAGACGCCGGGGTCGCGGAGGCGGGGCCGCTCAAAAAGTCTCGGGGGCCTCCAGGCGGTGCGGCGGCCACACCGTGTGGTGGGTGGGTCGGGTGTGGAATTCGGGGTTTCCGGGCGTTTGCGTCGGTTCCTGGTCCTGCCTCGGGATGCGTTCCCCCAGTGCTTTCGGTGGGTGCCCAGATGGTCTCGACCGGCCGCCGGATACTTTAGATACGGCCTGGAAGCCGAACATTCGGAGGAGGGCCGGTGTGGTGAGTCAGTGGGGGTTCGGGGTGGTCGCACGGTGTTGGGACTCAGGTCGTTCTCCGAGGAACCCTCGGGCGACTGGGGCCTCCAGGGTCCCCAAAGCCGTGCGGTGACGGCACGCGCGGTGAGGTCCGCGGAGATGCCGAGGTCACCGCGCGGTCTGTCACCGCACCGACTTGGGACCCCCAAGAATCGGCCGAGTCCACGATGCCTGCGCCGTCTGCGCCTGGCATCGGTCGATCCGATTCTGGACCCGCCCAAAATCGTATCGGACGACAGGGTCAGTACCGTTTCACCAATCCCCATCCCATCCCCGTCCCCATCCCGATCCCCATCCCGATCCCACCACTCTACTTGGGGATGATGCCCCTCCAAACCCGAAGGGAACGGCCCACATCCCCATCTAGGGGGGGAACTCGGCCAGAGGGGCCCAGTCTACACCCGTAGAGGTAGGGATCGGTTAAACGGTGCTCAGTCGTCTTAAGCCGGGGGCGCCGACCATCCGCTTGCTGCAGGTCTCCGCAGCCTCGGCGCTGTTTTCGCGGCGCTGCCGCGGGCGCTCGAGGCTGAGCGCCCTCGGTTGGCTCCTTTCGGGCCCAGGGCCCGCGGAAAATAGCCGACGGTGCGGAGTCGATGCGGAAGTCGAGGAATCAGAAGCGGCAAATATTCTCAGCTCCAAGGGGGAACGAGGGGACGACGGGGGTGCGAAAACTGTTGCGTGCAGTTGGATTCGGCCCAGCCGCCGGCCGCATTCCTTGATACATGGCTGCCTGCGGCGACACCTCTCCACGGAAGGGTGACAGTTGTGTCCATCCCGCTATGCAAGCGGTTCGATCTACGTGTAATGGAGGGCGGTGTTTGAACAGCGATTTGAGGCCCAGAAAGATGTCGAGAAGGAGATCTCTGACCTGGAGGAGTGCAAGAAGAAGTTGCAGGAGGCACAGGACCGACTCAAGGACCTGATGGAGAAGAAACAGAAGGCCGAGGAGGAACACGCGAAGGAGCAACCGGCCAACGCAGAGAAAAACAAGCAGGCGAAGAACGACGCCGAGAGTACCGCCGCGAGCTCGAAGGAGCAGGCCGCGAAGGAGCTTCAGAAGGCTAAGAAGGACGCGGAGGAGGCGAAACAGTTGCGCGAGGAGGCGGAGAATCATAGGAAGACGAGGGACGCAAATTGCCATGCCCGGACGCATGAATAGACACACACACATTTTCTGTCCGTCGGCGGCCGGGTGGGTGTCACCGCAGCGTGTCTTATGGCGGGCCACGCCTGGTTCAATTGCCACCTTGCCTTGCAGATGGGTGGTCAGAACGCGGCTGACGCATGCAGTAAAGTGCCGCTGAAGCGGATGCGCGTGGAAGATGCCGACGGCAATGCAAGCTGGTTTGGGCGGTGCCGCGCTCCCAGATGCAGAGAGAGAGAGGGGGAGAAACATATCTTTCGATTCTCATCGATCGCAGCCCTCCTGAGGGTGCGAGAGAGGCGAACTGAACACACTGCTTCCGTCGGCGACGAGGCAGAGTTGGTTGCACCAGCGCTAGAGCTAAACGAGGTCACCGAGCAACGGAACACACACACACAAACACACACACACAAAGACCCACACACACACACACCCACACACGCACCCACGCACGCACGCACGCACGCGCATCACTCACGCACGCACGCATTCACGCACACACACACACACACCCACACCCACATCCTTGTTCCTTAATATTATATACCCCCACCTACCTCGTATTCCGGCCGATAGCAACCCGATCCGGGGCCTCCCATCCGGACTGTAAAACATCAATACGACGTGGCCGTTGTTCTTCTCAACATCGTCTTTCTTGTCGTCGACGATGCGACATGCGTGGCAGGAATAGGACGCGGCGCACATCGCGCGCGGCAGTCAATCTGGGCCCGCCCATCTTGACTGTAAACAATCAATACAAAGTCTTCGTTTTTTCCTCTCAGCATGGCCTGCCTTGTCGCCGACAGTGCGAAATATGTGGCAGCAATGGGACGCGGCGCACATATGGGACGCGGCGCACATCGCGCGCGGCCGTCAATCCGGGGCCGCCCATCCTGACTGTAAGAAATCAATACAAAGTCTCCGTTTTTTCCTCTCAGCATGGCCTGCCTTGTCGCCGACGGTGCGAAATATGTGGCAGGAGTGGGACGCGGCGCACATCGCGCGCGGACGTCCATGCGAGCTGCAGGCCCTCCCATCCTCATTGTAGAAAACAATACAGAGTTGCCGTTTTTCCTTTCATCATGGCCTGTCTTGTCGTCGACGATGCAAAATGCGTGGCAAGAATGGGGCGCGGCGCACATCGCGCGCGGACTTCTGGGGCAACCACCTTACTTGTCAGAAACAATGCCATGCTGATTTTCCCTGCCCACATAGCTAGCTGTTCTTGTCGTCCACCCCGCAAAAGTGCATGGCAAGAATTGGGCGCGGCACACCCCCCTCCCCCCCCGCTCGAAGTGAATGAAATGACCTTCCCGCTTGGGCGCCGAGCGAAATTTTCTCAAAGTTGCGCTCCCGCTTTGGCTCGGCGCACGTTTTTAGCTCGCCAATTCATTGGGCGCCGGGGCGTTCCAGGAGGCCCTGGGGTGACGAATGCCTGGGAGGTTTTGGGGCCAGGATGGCCCTGGCCTGGCACGGTGGTGGTGTATGGATGCCTTCTGCGTACGGTCGTCCTTTTCTTGCCATCTCCTCTCCTCTTCTCTCGTCCTCCTCCTCCTTTCACTCTCCTCCCTCCTCGTTCGTGCTCCCGCCTCCCTCCTGGCAGGAAGGAGTACGAGGAAGCCCGCAAAAAGTACGAGGAGAACGTCGGGCAGGTCCAGAAGGACGAGGACCGACCTCGCTGGGCTTCCTAAGCAGGAGGAGACATATCAGAATGACGAGGAACATGAGAGGGACGACGGCGTAAACGAAGGTTACTGAGGAAGAGCACGGCGAGGACTATAAGTTCGTGGACCGCGAGGACGAGTTGGAGGATTCAGATGACGATGACGACGACGATGACGACGACGACGAGGATATAGATGATGATGCTGATGCTGATGATGCTGATGATGTTGCTGCTGATGAGGCTGATGATGCTGATGCTGATGATGGTGGGGATGATGATGATGATGATGATAATGATGAGGATGAGGAAATGGGTGAGGCTGAGGATGAGGATGGTGACGATGTTGCTGATGCTTATGCTTATGACGATGGTAGTTGTGATGAGTATGATGCTGATGGTGATGATGATGGTGATGGTGATGTTGATGCTGCTAATGATAGTGATGATGATGGTGGTAATGATGCTGCTGATGATGATGGGGATGCCAATACTGATGCTTATGATGCTGATGATGTTGAAGATGGTGAGGTTGATGGTGATTGTAATGGTGATGATGCTGATGGTGATGAGGATTAAACGTTACTGCTGCTGCTGATGACGATGATGATTGTTTGGTGATGCGGATGATGATATGTATGCTGTTGCTGATGATGTTGCTGATAATCATGTTGACGATGGTGATGTTATTGATGATGTTGATGCTGATGCTGCTGTTTCTGATGCTGATTGGTGGTGGTGGATGTGATGATGATGATGCTGCTGATGCTGATGCCGATGATGATGCTTCTGCTGATGATGTTGAGGATGCGGACGATGCTGGTGCTGCTACTGACAAGGATGATGCTGCTTCTGATGATGATGATGATGATGATGACGGTGACGCTGCTGCTGATGGTGATGCAGAAAACGAATATTGATAGTAAGATGTTGCTGGTGCTGATGATGATGATGATGATGCTGATGATGATGATGTTGCTGCTGAAAATGATGATGATGCTGATGATGATGCTGTTCATGATGCTGATGATGGTGATGATGCTGATGCTGATGCTGCTGCTGCTGATGATGCTGAGTCTGATTAGGTTGATGATGGTGGTGATGATGATGATGCTGATACTGCTGATGCTGCGGATGCTGATGCCGATGCCGATGCTGATGTTGATGATGATGGTGATGCTGCTTGTGATGAAGCTGATGATGCTGCTGCGGGTGATGATGTTGATTGATGATGAGTATGATGATGCTGCTGTTGATGGTGATGATGCTGATGATAATGATGATGAGTATGGTGATGATGCTGATGATGATGCTGATGATGATGAGAAGGATGATGATGATGCTGCTGATGATGATGATGCTGATGATGATGATGCTGATGATGATGATGATGATGATGCTGATGATGATGCTGATGCTGATGCTGATGCTGATGATGATGATGATGATGATGGTGATGATGATGATGATGATGATGATGATGCTGATGATGATGATGCTGATGATAATGATGATGCTGATGATG